TTTTTGTCTCCAGACGCAGTTTTTTTGTAAGGCGCCCGGTAACAAAGTTGACCTGAGAACCTGAGTCTAGAAGTGCTCGACATGGGATGAAACAACCCGTGCGGTTTTTTACGAGGATGATTGCTGTTGCCAGTAGTACGAAATTTTCAGAAGACGCAGCAGTAGCTACTTGTTGTGTTCTTGTCGACAGTGATTGAGTGCTGGCCACATCTGTGTTGTTGCGATGGCTTCCTGATGCGGACTGCTCAGGCACAGGCATGTGGAGCAGCGAATGGTGCTTCGAAAAGCACTGCCGACAATGACCTGACTTACACTTGTTTAACGTGTGCCCCTGACGTAGGCAATTCAGGCACAATTGTAGACGTTTTGCTTCCTTGTACCGTGAAGCAGGTGATAAATTTCCGAATTGGGTCCAGTTGTATACCAAATGCCCAACAGAGCCACAAAATAAGCATGAGCTTGACGAAACTACGAGTGAATGGCGCGAGTTGCTGTTACCGGTGGGTACACGTTTACCTGTCGAGGAAGAGGATTTTTCTGTCGGTACCTGAGTTTCTACATTCTCCAGCGTGCGGCACCTTCCTCCCATTTTATCCGCGTTTTAGTGTCAAGCTTATTCGAAATGAGGTGTATTAGGAGCCCATCGAGGAGCTGCTCCCCCGTTGCCATTGTATGAAGAGAGCGCAGGTGTACATTTACCTTGTCGCTGATCGACCGAAGACTTGTAGCGGAGCCAATCTCTACAGCCTTTAGCGCGAAGATTTCTTTAATATGTGATTGGAAATTAAGCATTTTATTGCCGAAGCGGTTCTTGAGAAGATCCAGTGCTTTATCGTAATTTGTCTCGCTTGGCTCCAAGTATCAAGCGTAGCAAGTTCGCACGTAAGTGTTGGAACTTTTCTATTTTGCTTAATTCAGTGCAGCTGTTGATCACAGAGTTGAATATCGCGATGAAATCTGGCCAATCAGTGTAAGCACCATCAAAACGAGGAATTTTAAACTCGGGAAGCCTGTTGTGTTGTGAGATGATAAGAGAAGGAGATGCATCATCGAGTGCGAATGGCCGTGCTGTTGATGAGTGGTAATTGCAGGCTTTACGCTGATTGAGCTCACGTGTTAACTTCCCCTTGACGTCCATGTGCACCTTTGCGAACGCCCAGCTAACTTCATTTGCCAGTACATTGGGTTCTTCGGCCTCAAGACTGTACTGAGCGCCATCAAAGCTGATTTGAAGGCGCTCAACCCACTCCAAATGCATCGATATATCTACCTCGTCTAGGTTTTTAGCGAGTCTGCTGATAACTGCTGGTTGATGTCCTTTAGTTGCTTCAAAAGGGAAACGGTCCTCTTTTTGTTGAGCGATTCCGGCCCAACTTGGCTATCCTCAGAAGCTGCATCTTCAGAAGGCATGTTGAATTGATTATTCAAATTAAATAAAGTTGAATGGATGAAATTCAATATTATTCGACGAGTTGAACGTGAATTATCACGTCGAGGTCACCAATGATTTGAGATGACAAGCCTTTTTGCCACCTTGCAGAAACTAAGCGAAGAGCAAATATATACCTTGACTTCAATATGAACAGTAAACTTTATTTCTAAAAACAGTAATTCATTTGTCTCTTAAACCTACTTACATTTGTCATACATATATGGGTCAATTTAAAAAAAAACACAATTTTTGTGTCCCTGCACTTTACACTACTATTTTAGGTAAAAAAAAAATATCAAAAAAAAAACAAAAATGTGAGAGTGATCATCGAGGAATATGTAACAAAAAAACGTAATTCTCAAATTTGTATGTTTGTTTTTTTGTTTGTTTAGAATGGTGTTTTGTTTCTCCCTCTGACTCCTTTCATACAAAAGCATGTGTCCCCCGTTAAAATTTTTAGTAAACAAAATAAAATAAAATCAAGAAAAAAAGTAAATATGTAACATTTAATAACTGTTTTCGAATTATTGGGTTTCTTTTGTTTCTCTTGTTTTGATTTGTTATAGTTGTCAAAAATTAATTAGTGCGAATTTGGCGTTGCGAAGAAAGGTTGTCCCCACAATTTGTATTGAGCGTCACTTTTTTATAAATCAAGTAATATTACCAGTTTTGAGTTTGCATTTAAATAAAGTAAACTACGTAAGGAAAGTACAAACTTTAAATATTAAAAAAGTGAAAAAGCGAAAAAAAAATCTATTAAAAAAGGTGTGCATTTGCGTAGTTTTTGTGAACACCATGGTAAGGGCGCGATAAAATGTCATGAGCGTCACGCTAATTTTTTTAAAAGTGAATATATTAAATGTAAAAAATTTAAGTTGACAATCATTGTTTACATGGTTTCAACTAATTTTTTTATAATTTGTGAATTTGGGAAATAAATTGCCTACGGAAAAAAACCAAAATAGGCAAAAATTTCATGAGCGTCACTTTTGATACATATTGCTTCATAGCTTAAAATGCTTAATTTTGATTTTATTTTTTAATTTTCAAGAGTAAAACAACAAAACGTCAAATATTTACATATGTGTATAAGTTTCTTCAAGAATTACTTCCTTTTTTCCATTTCTGTTAAAGACATCAAAGAATATGTACATGTTTAGTTTTGTATGAAAATTTTTGTTTTTTGAAGAAATTTTGTTTTCTTTTATTTACTTTTTGTAAAAAATAAACTTGTTTTCGTTAAACTTTAAATTTGGCATTATTTCTTGTTTACGTGCAACAAAATCTCTTGATCGTCACAAAATGTCTTGAGCGTCACACTTAGTTTTTTTTCCTTAAAACGCTTATAATTGCAGTTTTTTTTAAATACATTGTTACAAGCCTATTACTTTCCAAGTAACCTCTTAGTTCAAGTCTTTTTTTAACAAAAATTTACATATTTTCATCTTAAAATTTTTAAATAACTAGTCAATTAAAAAAAAAAAAATCAAGGTGAATCGTGATTTTGTGTTTATAATCGAAAAGGTGATTTTCGCAAAAGTCAATCTTGAAAAACAAAAGAACATCGTAGTAAGCTTGAATTTCAAATATTTTTGCATTTTTAGCGATTTTTTATACATATTTGGTGTGTGACGCTCAAGACAGAAATCATAGAAAACCTAAAAAAAAATCCAAAAATATTGATTTTTTTGAGAGCCTAAAGGTACCACCGGATTCTTCATCAATTTCTACATAAATTGGCCACTCTTACAGACGAATTGAAAAAACTTTAAAAATAAGCAAAAAAAAACACGTTGTGTACGTTTTTTTTGAAATTGACCCATATACATATTTGCTAACGTTTCTTATTTTGCCGCAGATCGGTTCACTTTGCAGGTATATAAATCCATATGTACATTTTAACATCCCTTATACTTATTTGCAAATACATACATATTGCTACATACGTACATAGAACATAAGAATACATATGTACATATGCACATACATACTAGAACATAGCAGTGAGGGACCAGCAGCAACGAATGAGCTGATAAGAAAGATAACAAAGAGCTGACCTAGCGGATATCCTTAACCCTTGGGCGAACATCTTGGCATGCGATTTAGTGAATCTTAACAGCTGGTTTTAGTAAAAATTTCGAATTTGTTGAAATATTTCGCAATAAGGATTATTTGAGGAAATTGGAAACAAATTATGATTTCTATTATATCTGCCTATAAATAATTACTTTCAACGTAATATCGAGACCAAAGTAGCGAGTTGACGCTTATTGGATGAAAATTTACCATGAACAATTGACTATCTGGTGGCAGTCGGGTAACGATTATTCAAACCGACTTTAAAAATATCTATGGAAACCAAGTTTCGCGAATTAGTCAAGATGAACAGAACTAAAGTCTATGACTGTGTCGAGTAAAAGTGCCTTCCGTGGGTCTAATGGAATTTAATTCGCTTGTAAAAGGCCATCGAAGAAATTTTCAGGCGGATAGTTACACGAGTACTAGGCAAAACACTATGATGGCGAAAAATAACGAAAGCTTTTACGTTGACATTATGGAGTACTTTTCAAGCCTTTTTGAATACACTTACATGATTCTCTCTCATCCACCAGCTGGACGCGCTTACCAAATTAACACATCCCAGCAAATGATTTGGGGCTCTTATATATGGTCTCACGAATTAACTAATTGGAAATTTTAATTTTATATCATTTCTACTGGATTCCTGCACGCAGCCGGTCTTATGCAAGTGTTCCGCGCTTATTCGAAAACTTAGTGAAAACGGCGTTAGAAGGTCTACGTGGATTCACAAAAAAATCAGCATAGTTTATTGATATGTAAAGAAAGGTCTGGGGTAAACCTATCCTGGGCTTCACAATGGGCTTGTGCGCCCTCCGAGTATACACTTAACTAGAGCTAAGCGCGACTTTTGATGGATAAACTTTATTAATAAATATGTGTGTCCATATCTAAGGTCCTCTGCAATAACGACACAATTCAAAATTCAAAAAATGAAAACCCTTACCACTGTTAAGTGGCTCATGTCTCTAACCCGTATCTAATCCATATCCAATCCTTACTAACGTAAGTTGTAAGGATCGCTAAACTAAGTAGTTAGGATTAGACATGAATTATACAAGAATTTAAGACACGAGCCATTTAATAGTAGTTAGGGTTTTTATTTTTTGAATTTTCAGTTTTGTCGATATTGCAGAGGTAGATATACTACATATCGTCCCTTGGCGCGCAATACCTCGTATCAGCTAAATGCGATACCACGTATAAGGTAGTCCGAACGTATCACAAGATAGCAAAAAAACGTATTTGCTCCAAAACATTTGAATGGATTTCTAATTGAACTTACCAGCTTCTGAGCTTCTACTATAATTATTTCCATTAAATTTGTGGAATAGGCAAACATTTTTCTGTGCCACATCATACGTGGTATTACGCGCCAAGCGACGATATGTATACACACATAGTATGCGTTTACAGCTAAATCCATTATACATAATGTACTAATGGTTCTTTCTTAATAATAAATAATTTGAAATAATTTAAAACTTACCTCACTCTCCGTTAAGTCAATGAGACTCGACTTTTCCTCAAGCAAATTTTCCGATGATATTTTTTCCTCTTCGCGATCGCCTTCATCTTTAAAAATTTTCACCTCATCGGTGCTGCCCAAATCGTCGCTGGATGAACCACCATGTCGAGAATGTGAACTATGGCTATTGTGTGGCATTATGATTAATTGTAAATGTTGTTATATTTTGTGTTTAAATTTTGATTTTTTTGTTGTTTCAGCTTTTGTTCAGCGATTTTGGATTTTGGGGTTTTTATTTTGATTTGGATTTTTCAATAGCGATTTAACCACGCTGATTGTTTCACTGTATTTGTATATAACATATACATATGTATAATAAATACATACACGTACATATGTATGTATGTACACATATTTGTTTCAAGTCAACACAAGAATTCAAACATTAACATGCATAAGTTGGTTTATTTGTTTATGTATACAGTAGAAATTAACTTGTATCAATCATCCTATGAAAATAGTTTTTTACTTAGCGCTGGCTGGGCTTTTTTTTGTATTTAGTTTTGTTTTTGTTGTAGATGAATGAGTTTCGGTATACGAACGAGTATGCAATTTAAATGCTGTGGTGCTTCAGTGCTTCGTTTTTTGTTTATTCTTTTTAATTACATGTAATGGTATATACATATTTAAGTATATGTGTCTGTAGATACATTTTTGAATATTGCAGCTATGCCGACTAAATTGTACAAACATTTTCATTTTTTTAATGTGTTGATTTCTAGTTGTATTTTTGTTTTTATTTTTAGTGCCATTTGTCTGTTTTTTTTTTAATACGGACTTATTTTTTTTTACTTTAATTGCTAATTTTTTTCATTTTCTTCGATTAAATTCAATATTTGTTAGCGTGGCTTGGTATATTTGTTTTTTAGACTCTTGTCGTTTATGTATATTTAGGTGCTGGTACTGTTGTTATCGCGTATTTGTTTATATACAAGTGACTATAATTTACAACACAAAAACATACATATCTGTTTGCTATATGTATGTAGCTACTGTTGCTAAATATTACTTAATTTTAAAATCACATTTTTTCATTAACGTTTTTATTACACTTAACAAATTTATTAATTTTTCATTGCTTTAATTATGTTTTTGTATTTTTTGTTTCTTATTTTGTGTTTGTTTGTTTTGTATTTGCATTTGCTTGAAATTTTTTATTTTATCTCCGCATTTGCTGTTTTTGTCGCTTTCTGTTTTGTTTGTTTTTGTCGCTTTCGTTTATTTCACCAACACTCTCGTGTCGCCGTTTGTGCACAAATAAATATTTTTTCTCCGTAGAACACAAAACAATGGCGGCAACTTTGTGTCGTTAAATTCATTCGCTCTCACTAGTCGTCTGGCGCGCTCTTACGTTCGCCGTGCAGCCGAATGCAGCCGAGCACTATTAGACTTTATGCATAGATATGAGTGTACATGAGGATACCCATCCATAGCTGGGTACCTGATTGTTTGTTTGAATGTTCCCGTACCTTCACACCGAATTCCACGCGGTATGCACAAACAGCCAAACACACATATTTATGAATATACTTATTTACCTATATGTATTTATGTATCTCCTTAACCGGCTGCGCTTGACTTTGAATGTATATCAGTACAGCCTCATTAGCAACATTATCGTCAGCATCGTTATGGTCTTCAAGTCAGCAATCAGCCTTATAATCGCCACCAGGATTATCGTATGCTCAACATTATCATCACGTCATTATCACCTCGAAACCGACGCGCAATGTCGACTTCTATGCATTGCTTGCTTGCTAATTTCGTATCTTCTTAAGAATTCTTCTTGTTTATTTATTTGTTTATTTTTTCGCTCTTTTATGATTTGTATGTGATTTCCGTTTGATTTATTTGTGGAAGTTGTGTCTCTTGCCGCCTCTGCCGTGGTGGCGTTGATTTCTTCGTCGATTCTGGTACTTGTTTCGGCGCGCATAACGATGTCGTTGTCGCCGTCTTCGTCGCTGTAGTTGTTGGCTCACGCACCTACTTTTTCTTTGCTTCGCATTGCGCAAACGCACGTCTTGTGGCAGCGCGCCCACTATTCTTTTGCGCGATCTGCGGCTAACGACTGCCGCTAGTTTCTGTAATGTGAAGTTTGCACGTTGTATGTTGGGGGCCTATCTGTGGCTGATATGTATGTCTTCACATGCGTGCACACGCTATGATGATTTTTCTGCACTTGGCGTGCTTGCCGTCTGCGATTGCGCCTGCGCCCGCACCTTAGTGTGTGCTTACGTTTGTTATTTGAGCGCTTGGTAGTTTGGTGGCTGCGAGCCTGCGCGTCCGGCTTCTTTACACCGACTTCGGTTCAAGTGCAACTGTAAAAAGAAGCGAAAGCCACATAAAGAATGAAAGCGAAAGAATTTTATTAATGTATCGTTAAGAATGAAAATGAATGCAAAAAATTTTTACGAATGTTACAACATTTATCGATCTAAATTTTTTTTAATTACTGTTTCAATAACTGTAGGCCAAAGTTCTTTAATAAATGAACTACGGCTGCGAAAGTATTAGCTTTGTGCGCAGAAATGCGTGAAAAATTGCGGCGATAGCTTCCATTACATTAGACTGCATCACCAAAAAAAAATTGCTATTTTTCCCCCGGAATTATAAAATTTATTATATTTGAAGACGTCTACCAAAATATTTAGATTTACGTGAATTCCACCGACATATGGGTAGTGTCTACCTTTTGGACTCTGTTATGGGCCACTACAAAATTAAACTACGTAGTAAACGTTGGTATATATTTTATAATTCCCTTGATAATACTATGCGTAATTCACGGCTTTTATATCGAAGAATAATTGCTGAAAAGGGGCGTATTAGTAAAATCCTCAACTCTGCTGAATTCAGAATAGCTATAGCAGAATAGTTATGTAAATATCACATAATCAACCGCACAAAGCGCAAAGAAGAAACGTCCGGCTCAACACGTTTCTCCAAAAAATGTGAACTTGGACCAATAGGGGCATAGCCAGTTTGGCTGGATAAACGAATGACGTGCAAATTTCAAGACTGCAAGGGTCATATGCAAACAAGCTGTGAAAAATTTGGAATTAGTTTGCTTTACAATAAGCAAAATAACTGTTTAAAAAATTTTCAAATTTCGTAAGGTTAACTTCATTTTTGTAGCACTATTGACGCAATGTTGCATTTCTGCAGCAAATTAGCGTATTGCGTAAAAAACCTTTTGTAAAAATGTGATTACCTTTGAGTTTAATGCAATTCATATCAAACATTTTTAATGTTAAAAAAAAACAAAATCAGACATTTTATGCATGTCAATAAAACATAATTCCAAACCTTGTTTCAATTTGCATACTCTCACCCTTATTTTTACCAATACACTCACTCTTTACAAATTGCCTATCACAAATTTTTCTTTCAAGACGATAGGCAATTTTTCGTTCAATTTCAACAGATGATCGATAATAACTTTGGGAAGTGAATTTTTGTTTGTAGAAAATTTTGTGCTTAGGGCGTGTGTGAATCGGTAACAAAGTTCTATGGGGAAAGCCGTTGAATAATATTTTTACTATGGTGAGACAGTTTTGCCGATCTGTTGTGTGAAATTAAATATTTTTTGACAGCAGTAAATTTTTGATAACCGCAGATTTATTTGAAATAAAATATTACAAATTGAAGTGAAATGAATATTTTAAGAAAACATCGACCAACGTTGATTGCAATTCATCTATTTAAGCTCTTATTTAACGAAAAATTACACACATCAACAATCTTTGCGAATGTCAAAATTTTCTATGCATTTGTCAAAAATTTCACTAGCCTCATGTGCTACTGAAATTTTATTCATCTCATAGTTGTCAAAAATTTACTCGACGCGAACTTTTTTACCGGTTCACACATGCCCTTAGTAAAATTTAGAAAAAACAAAGAAAACTTATACGTGTGAGCAAAATGAAAGAAATATTTTCAACATATAAATGCAAAGTAAGTGAACAAATCTTAATGCTAAGTTCGATTGAATTTTCAAAACATTTTTGCCTACCAAAAGCTTCATCAAACCAACCAAACTACCAAAGGAGAATGAAGCTACCAATTTTGGTCCAATCGGACCAAAACTGCAACGCTGCCGTGTACGTGTATTAACCCATTTTATGCAATATATATTGCCAAAGGCTATTATATTCACCTCTTTGTTTATAGAGGAACAATTTCTAACTATATTTGTAGTCTATTTATTAAAAATAATTCAACATCACGAAATGCCGACCAATTTAATTTTTTGTATTAATAAATCAATAAAGCTTAAATTGATTATACATATGTAAAAAATAGTATGTGCTAATTCATACTGGCGAACAATAACGTGGTAATGATCTTGCTTGCGCATGTGTTCGTAAATAACCCTGCAAAAATCGCGACTACTCCATGCATGCGTGTAAAGAGCACTCCCTAAGGACCAAGGAGGACTCCAAAATTAACCACAATTCATATAAAAAATATGGTCCAATTAACATTGCGATGTCCTAGGGCAGGACCATATACTCCATCCCTGCATTACATCAGAGTAGCACAAAACTACTCCAACATATTAACAATGGCATTGCTGTTATATTTTTTCGTTTGTACACGCTTTTGTTCTTCACTTCTCAAATGCTTTTTCGAAATTAATAAAAACCAAGAGATAAATTAAAATTACATGTTGCCTCTGACGGCATTCGAACCCGAACATGCTGGGAGCTAAGAACTAACAGCGAGCATCTCTACACGTTCAGCTACAGCCAGACATGCAAATGTGCTTTCAAATGCTCAACTTCAATCACATTTCGTTAAAACACGAGCAGGGATCGGATAACAAACAATAAGCTGGCGCAGAGACACGAGTTGGTCCTCTACAGCATGACAGAGGAACACTTTTATAAGTACTCCAATTTACCACAAATAGACTACATGGTCCCATGATTTTTGCAGGGAAGAGAGCCGAGCGCTACTACTAGGCTCAGTCGGTAGAAAACCGTCATATAAAAAGGTTGTTTTGCACATGATTGTCCTTTTTTTCCAAGCAAATTTTTAACGAAAAATTATCTGCGCAAGACCAACCCCTACCTTTGAAAATGTGCGACCAACTGATAGTGTTGTTCCGATGCGAGTAACTATAAGTAATTACTCGATACTTTCTTCAAGTACTGAGTACTTTTTGTACTCGAATCCTTCCCGCAAGTACTTAGGTGGGTATCGAATACGCGATTAAAGTATTATTTGCTTTTCCAAAAATTCTGAATTACGGTTCTAACAATATATGAATCATGCTGTTGTTGGTTTTGCACCACTTTAAGTTGGCTAATAAAGAAAGTGTCAATTCCTGCTTTCCCGTACTAGTCAATTATTAAAATTTTGCAAGATACAGACTTGTGGCTACTTTTTCGGTAAGTTTTGGTCGGAGAGTACTCGTACCGATTCTGTTTTTCTTCACATGACATAAGTACTTACAGTGAGTTCGATATGAGAAAGTATCGAGTACTTCTCTCCGATACATTTGTGGCATCGATACTTTTCTTCAATATTTTTAAAGAGTACAGGTATCGAGTACAAGGTCGATCCGGAACAACACTACCAACTGAACGCTGACAATGCAAAAGTGAATTACAAAACAGCTAATAGGCGCGCAAGCAAGTCGGTACCAGTGTTGCCACAAAGATTTTAATTTTTTACCAAACCTCTAAAAAAATTACCAAACTCAGAACAAAATTACCAAATTTTTATGAGAATAATATTCTAAACAAATTGGAAATTATTTTTCGACGTATGTAGATAATACACCACGTCTGGGATTGTGGCCAGCTTAGATCTATTTATATTTTTCGACCGAAAAATTAGTTCTTCCCATTCTTTTATGACAAACTCATAAAAATGCATAATGTCGCTGCCGCGTTCAAAAAATTCATATCACCATCGACTTAGCGTTTAGATAACGAAGACGAACAATTTACAGCTGTGGTTGTCCTTTTCAATGTGTTCCGACTATAACAATTCACAAATATTTTTAATGGCCGGTTGTTCAATGTATTTAACCGGAGCTTCTACCTCTGATTTGTACTAATCAGACATTGGACAATCGGCCCTAAAACATAAAAGAAAAAAATCGCTCATAGATTTATAAACATTTAAAAGGTGTTTAATAGTTCATTTCTACTGCAGTTTATGCCTATTGGAAAAAAGCAGATTACAACTCGAAGGAGGTAGTTGCTCATATTAGGTACAAGCAAATGAAAGGAAAATAACAAAACCGAATAAATAAACATTGCAGATCACCTCTTGTTGAAAATATCTAAACTCTTAACTGTAGTTAAGCGTTTGGTGGAAATGGGCTGTAACATACAGTCTTTTACATAATTTATTTTACATAACTTAAAACCAAAACATGAAACCAGCAAATGTATCGTTAAACGTTAAATCTACTTTTACTATTTTATAAGTGGGTCACATTCGTACTTAATTGCAAACTTTTAATTAGTCCCGTGAAATTATTTTCTTTCACCATTGGTTCCGGCAGGTAAAAATGATCCAAAACCCAGATTTGTGGGACTGTAGGGGCTGTGATCGAGCCGCCATATTGGGAAAAATGGGTGGTTTCCTGCTGTATTGCAAACTCATAATAAAAGTTCTGAGTTGTCAAGGCAAATTGTTACATTAAAGAGCCCTTTCAATGTTTGGCTATCTTAAGTACATAAGCAAATTTTTTTGTTTTGAGCAATTGTCAGAAGGTTCAAAGTTATACATTTTTATATGTAATAAGTTAGTAATAAATACTTAAAAGAAAAGACTTACGTTAAAAAAATTACCAAATTGAGAAAAAAATTACCAAATTACCAAACTCCTCCTAAAAAGAAAAAAATTACCAGTTTTGGTAAAAAATTACCAAAGCGGCAACGCTGGTCGGTACTCACCACCAGTGTTGCCATTTCTGTTTCTGCCGTTCCGCCAGATTAATAAACAAAAATCGCTAGAATCCTGCTAAATCATTTAAATTCTCTAAACTCTTATGAAAAAAAGTTTCTTTTATAATTTAGCAGTTAAACTTTATTTGATAAAGATAGAGATCATATGTTTATAAAAAACCATCAGTTTTTTAACAAAAACAAAATTGGGACTTAGTTATGAGGTTTTATAACCAGTGTTGGGATTTTGTGGCATTAAATTAAGTATAAATATTGGTGATAAGAATGTCGTCTTCGTTTGTTTAACTACCACTACTAGCGTTTGTACTAGCTTTGTTTAAAGATTTTGTTGTTGTCTAGCATAGAAAAAGGAATTAAAAAAATACAACTGTGACTTCTGTGTTTTCGGTGCG